GGGACACTTTTCTAGTTTTACAAAAAAGAACATGTGATAGTGAAGTTGTTAAACTTCACCTCGTCAGTTGGCAGCAGATCACTGGCATTCGGCAGCGAAATTTATGACATCGACTGCGGGTTTTTGTTTCCAACGTGCCGTTTGTTGTTGACAGGCACATTTCGGAGGGCGGCGTATTGTTGGCGTATGGAGTGCTTATGAATGCTTGGTGGTGAGTGAATCAGTAATGATTGATCCTCCTCGATTTCTTTTCTTTTCGTTTTGCGGCTTTCTGCGGTCCGCGCTGTCTGTCGAGCGAATAACTAATCCCTTATACACACTTTTGAGGTCTGCAGTTACGTTTCACCGAGTACCGCTAAGTACAAGCGAAGCAGTCGGCAATATCATGACACGAGGTACTAGCAAAGTTGGCGTATCGTCGATTGTTTCGGCTGGTTGTGTTTTAACGAAGGTGTGTTTCAACATGTGGTAATCTTAAGAAGAGTTCATCGTTCGTTCAGACGCAACGCAGGCATCATAAAGCAGCGGTCATCAAAAGCATCGACTGAACAAACATGCAGTTTTTGTCAACTTGTTCGGTATAAGGATTTCAGCGATTGGACGAAGGGATCGCACAAACCACTGTCCGTTTTTTAGGTACTGAATTAAGGTCTGTAATGGTCCCCTGAATTTATGATGAAACCACTTGGGCATGGAAGGATGGAAGAAGCAGAATTGCATATTAGCTTTATCAGTTTTACGAGTAGGTGAAGAAAAAATTACATCGAATCCGCAAGCTTCTGTTCATTTCTGGCATTTTCATCCGTCTTCATCCAGGCATATCTGTTTTTTTGCCTGTATGTCAGAAATTGTTTCACTTCTCAACCTGTTGGTTTGAATGAACGCTGAGAATACATAATACAAATCCATGGATTACGCTTCGCCAGAGCTGCCATTCCAAATCGACTGTGCAACAGTCACTCGCCAAGAAATAAACGTGGAGCAGCGTCGACTTGGCGTTTATTTTTTTTTCACACAAACGCACGCACAGTGGAACGAATCAGAATAAGTCGGATGATGACGATGATGATGTTTGTCTTTTTGGTTGTCTCAAGCGGATGATCTCTGAACATTAAGATTTAAAGCAAGTTTGGTCCGTATTCAAAGTTTTAACGGAACGTTGTACACTGTATCGACAACGACCGACCGAGCTGGCTCCGAAATTTCAGTTCTTGCAACAAAGTCTAAGCATTTAAAATGTTATGCGTCTGTGTACAGAAAATACGTACACTTGTCTGTATATACCGCATTTTTATTTCAGTCATACTCAGCGGTGTATAACGTGAGTTGTTTGAAAATCAGTTGGTTTCGAACTTTCAACCGAGGGAGGTAAAAGGGGTTGCGGTATACTTTGTTTAAAATTCTGGCTGTTCTTAAGCTTGTTGCCTTTTGCAATTCATATACCTTGATTGCATCATCAGTTGATTTTGGTAGGTGCTGATGGTTTCTTTTCACTACAGGAATGACTTCCTCCTGTATTCTCCACGTCATTTGTGTTTCCACCTTCATTTCTTGGAATGTCATTATCTTTTCTCATATTTTAACCACAACGTTGCCATCAGCCAAAAATGCTGTATCACGCAGTATGTTCCAGGAATCTTCGCTTTTCTACCGACTCGATATCCGGATATTAAGCCCAAATCTGTTTCTCAGTTCTTATTGCGGAGTGCTAGACTATTTTCCCAGATTTTACTTCCATCGCTTTAGGCGGATGGTTCCACCAATTCTTTGCCTTAGGTGAGTCGGCTTAATCGCATAAATGCCGGTGAACTATCCTTGCCACGTTGTTATGCTGTTTCTCGTATTCTCGCATGCCGAAGTTATGAGTCATGGTCTTATTCTTCACTTGGCACATTCACGATCTTCACTCTATACGAATTCATGTTTAGTGCTTGGTTCGTTCTTGGGCAGCCATTAGAAGGGCTTCTCTTTCTCCCTAGTGTACACTCTTTGGTAGAAACTTGAAAGTCTAATGGATGTCTATGTCTTCACCGAGTTGGCGAAGGTAGTCTCGATGAAGCTGACTGTGCTTCAAACTTTTTTATCCGGCGTCCTCTATAGTTTTCTAATGATTTCCAGCATTTGCAGTTATTTGCTGTTGTCCTTTGGAGCTATCAACGACCTCTCTTTCACTGTTATGGCCAAGTATTATCAACTGACCAAAGGATTATGTCTCTCGTTCCAGCTTATCTTTGGTAGTACGAATCCTTCCTCTTTCTTTGAGTGCGATGTATAGTTTGTCCGTATTTGTTTTGCCATATACCTTTCCCTAAATGTTCAAGATCATTCTTGTCTTTTATTTTTCCTGCTCTAGTCTTTCCGCTTGTGTCTATTCACCATTCCTCCTATATAGGAAATCACTGGTACCACACAGTGGTTAATGGTCACAATTTTGCACTTTCTGCATAGCTTGCACTTGAGGATTCGGCGGATTATTTTCTCGCATTAAGTCCTTATGGTTAATTTTATTTTTGCATGTGATATCTTGCTAAGTTCTAGCAAGCCAAGGTACTTGTTTATGCGACTGTCTTTCGTCCAACTGTTTATTTTGCCAGTCGATGTGTTAAACTCCATTGCTTTTCCAAATTTTTTCCTTTTTGATCTTAACCATCGTACATTTATCCACCTGATGTTCCCAAAAGAATCGTACACTTTGGATCAGATTATCCAGCTCTTTTTCTGATCTCCCAAACAGTTTGAAGGCGTATTCTTGCAGATAGAATATTATATTGCCATCTTTCTTACAACTTAAGTGTTTTCCTGGTGTTCTAAGATTTGAAGAAGGTTTTCGACCTACCTGCATTCGTTCTGTATTGAATTCGTTGGAGGAAACAAGCAATGGAATAGAGATGCGGAGACATAATCGTCTTAATTTGCAAGAATGTAACACCAAGTATAACGCTTCATGAAAGCACCAGCAAAATCGAAAGAACCTCTTGACAGCGATACACAATATCACTGAAACTGTTCACAGCATAGGCATTGCGTAGACCGTTCCCCGGAGGGAGATGGCGCTGTTAAGCACTCCTGTGATCCCATCCAGTTTCAGTTCTGTTAGTTGCGTGTTCTTTTCAGTTATCTGATTGTAGTCTTCTAGATGTTGCTAACTTGCATCACTGACGGAGTAGACTTTCCATCCTTATACCGTTCTTTCCTGTAACCGCTTCCTTGCTTCACGACAGTATTGTGCGAGTTCATTCCAACCTTGTTTTCTTGCTTCGACCGCTTCTCACGCGGCCATCGTCATTCTGGTCTTCGCACTGTGCTTGTCATACACTGCCTCGTTCCCCAACCACCTGTGCAGACCTTGATAGCTTGCGCTTAAATCGCTCCGATGAAGGATCGTACACGACCGTTGTGGCCCTGGCTTGCGTTCATCAATGTTCATTGAAGCTATGCAAGCCGAAGCTTCAAGCCAAAGCTGGACAGCTTGAGACGAGACGCCAAAATAAGAGCGATCATTCATCTACCCATTATGGCGTATCACAGCGAAAATTTCCCTGTATAGCATCAAATATGTAACTTACGTATTATATAGTTCGCAAATTATATATGTAAACATTTGCGAAGTTGTGCGTAACAAAATCAAAAAATGACAAGGCTGATTCGATTGTTTTTGCAACGCATGACAGTTACGTGTGCGATTAGATCACTTCATGTATTGTGTGTCCAAAATACGCTTATATATCGTCAGAGATTCATCCACATTAGCGTTCTTTTGTATCACCGTCGTGTGACATGTAACCCGAAGGAGGCAAACCCACCAAAGGCTATGTCATAGGCGATCGGTTGATCCAACTTGATGTTTCGCCGTTGGATGTGGCTTAAGAGCCGAGTGTCTGTTTGCTAGCTAGGAAAAAGGTGCGCGCCCCGACGCGCAGTTAGTTTCTTTTTCTGTCGGTGTCTAGAAGAGCTATGCGTTGGTTCTCGACAAACAGACGACGAAATGAAGCGCTGAAGTGCACGAGAGTGACGTGACACATCGTTGCTTCCGAATGCTGCACCGCAGTGGACAATCGCGCCGAGGTTGAGACTCAGCTGACGATAGTGGTTTTTGTTTTATCGCGTGTTGGTAGCCGTGCGCTGCCTGCGAGCTGTTACGAGACGGTCGTTATTCGCATGACCATGGCGCAATCCGAGGCCCCTCAGAGGAAGACTGGACGTCGGACGAAGCTCCACATCGAGGAGAACGAGTTGCTGTTTATTCGATGAGCGAAACGTGGTAAACGACTTTTATTTATCCTGATAGTTATTTAAGTTACGTCGCGAAATCGTTACAGTAAGGCGATCAAGGAAGGAAGCTATTTGATACTGCGAAGCACTTTGCTTGCTAATGCGTATATGCTGCTTGATCCAGCCTGTAACAGATCGCGATGGAACCGCACAAGGAAACAACATGACAGTTATTTTATATTGACCGATAACTATGAGCGCCGTGAATCCAAATGATGCTGGTGATCACAAAATGGTGATAACCCAAATTCTGACGGTTGTTATGGCTATCTTACTGGTACTGATAGTATGATAGTTATGATGAAGATGTCCTCGGGTAATAATGATTGTGAGCTAAGGGTCATCATTATCACCACCACTGTAGTAGTAATAATTCATTATGATAGTTAGCATCATGATTACTGTTATGATACTTGCAGTGATAAGTATGTTGGTTACTCTGGCAATGATTATGATCATTGTCATAACGATAACGATGACGTACAGTGATAGCAGTGATAATTATGGTGATCATGTTGATTACGTTCATGATGTTAATGATGATAATGACTGTGAGGGCGACCACCAAAAGGACAAACATTGCTTACATAACAGCAATGATTATAGCGAAAATGGTCTTCATCGTGGTAGGAGTTTTGGTAGTGACCGCGACGAGGAGTTCGATCGCACGAGCGGTGGTTACTTTTATAGATGGGGAAAAGTGTGCAATTGAGTTCTGATTTACATGCATGCAGGTAAGCTAATTGCCGTGCTCTTTTCATTAGATACTTAGTTCACAGTTTATTCTCGTTTCAGGTGATGTATGCGGAGGACGGACCTACAAATGTTCTTGCACTAAAGTTGTGAACGTTCATTCATTTCATTCACTTTCCTTGCACCATCTTTTAATTTATTTCCTCGTTGAAGAGGAACTGGCACTCACTCAAACACCAATCCTTTTGATTTACCATTCTGATGAATTTTATGTTATAATAATGTTATTTTGGTAAAAGTGCATGTGTCCACTAGAGCCCCTCCCCTCCCCGAAGAAAACTCCGAGTGAACTAAACCTCACAGAGCCGTTGCCTGAAACTCCATTCGAGCGGTGTAAGAAACAAACAGGCGTTCTGTCCACGTTTACCGGTGGCCAACAATCGCCAGCATGCAGCCCGTGACGGACGGACTATGGCGGAGTACATCGTACGTCTGACCGATGGACTTTTGGTAATGACGGATTCTTATGCAAGGCGCTGTATAAGCGGATCTCGATTCAAATAGGATGATAAAGTAAAATACAGATATGGATGCTTATTTCAACAAATCTCACGCCAACGCGGGGATCGAGATTAGTAGATGGTAATTCTCGTTAATTACGAAGGAGCATCAGTCAGTTCTTTTTGTCAGTATAATGGTATAACCGAGGTTTGTTTTTGTTATAAGCGCGAATGATAAATGGATTTATGGAAATGACCATGTTTCCTGTTGCCCTGGCAATGATGAAGTTGTAAATGTAGATGCCGTGTTTTCTCCATATAGCTCCAAGAAAATAGTCATTAATGACCAGTCTATTGAATTAATTGGAAAGAAACAAAAGGATGCACTCAGACGACGTCGAACAGAAACATCTGAAATAGAAATGGTCGATGACGGGGTGAAACCAAAAACTGGTATTTTAGAGCTTGGTTCTGTCACTTAATTGCTGTGTGGTATTGTCTGGATATTCGAAGAAATGCAGTTCCTTAAGTTCCTCAGCCTAATTTCTCAATGATGGCGTGTAGATGAGCTGCGATCAGTCCTCGCTCCTTCTCTTTTAAAATTTTAGTTGAGTTTATTTAGGACAACACTAGTTTAACGTAAGAAACCCCTAAGGGAGAGCACCGAATGCGCCGCGGGAAGATCACTTACTCTCTTTCCGGCCAAATAACTGGTCTTTGTTCCTCACTAGTAAATAAGTACGTTAAGTGGGCGATTCCATGACTTCTGAACTAGTTCATGACCTTTGCGTGATATCCTGGATGTTAGTTAACGTAGGAGGACGCTGTGCTTGGAGGTTTGACGAATTTGTTGATAACACATATCACTGCTGTTTAAAGGCTATATGCAGACTAGTCAAAATTTAATATCAGAGCTCTGCGTAGATATGCGTTTCCTTAGGAAAAGCGGTCCAAGGTCGAAACGGCGACTCGTTCGTTCGACGCATAATTTCTTGTCGCGTTTGTCATGTTTTTTTTTGTTATGCTCTATTATCGACATTTTATTTTGTTGCTTTAGATTCTCGATCTGCCGAATGGACTTCGTTCAGAGATGTTCACAAGTAAAGGGTTCGGTTTTCGAAGTGAACAGCAGCTTGACGTCACGGAAATGTTCTTCGTTTGCGCAACGGCATTTTCGCCATTTATTCCGTTGGTTGTTTGTGTTACTGGGAAGCGCGTCGTGTTCTGAATGAAAGCATGAGGCGAAGCTGAGTGGGCGAGTTAGATTACTGAAACGACATTCCGTTCGAAAGGAGCTTCCGTGTCTGCGCGTTGGCGTGATTCGATGGACGTGTTTGTTTTTTCCGTGATGCACCGGAATTTTTCTTCGTCTTTGTTACAGATTCAGCGGTCAGTTCATGTGCAAGGAAGAGGTATCCACACTGCCATCGCGCTGCTCAGAAACCGATACGGTCCCTCAGTTGTTGGCAACGGCCCCTGTGTCCACCGCCGCCGTTTCCAGATCCGTGGACGACGACTTGGTGCGGGTGCCGCCGTTCATCGAGGCGATGGCCCTTAGCCAATACAGCACTGATGCCATTCTTCCTACCAGCGGCAGCAGCAGTCGCGCTGACTCGTCGCCCAGTGCCCAGTGCAACGGCTCGCTGTCCGACGATCAAAATTCGACGCCGAACTGCGCCGTGTCCGATGCCAAAAACGATTCCTCGCAGGTACCACCGTCGCAGGACAACAAGACCAGCACCGACCTCGGTGGAAGCGATGCAGCGCCACCACCGGAAAACAGTGAAGAGGTGTTCCTCATCCAGGATAGCGGATTCTCGGTGAAGATACACGCCCCTGGATGCGAGCCTTTCGAACTGCAGGTAAAAAATTGTTTGGCCAAACGATCGATACGGCAACTCGTTTCGTATGCTTCGATTATTATCATTCGTCAGCTTCTCATTCAGTAAGGTGTTTAGAAATAGTTTACTTCTGCTGAGTTAAAATTTAAGCCTCTCACGCCGCCTATGTACGTCTTACTGGTCGTTTTCCACTGAACTATTAATTAACCGAAACAGACAGAAGGTGCAGAAGTAATAAAGATGCTTTGCCATTTCCCAGTACGAACTAAGAAACAAATATCTGCTCATCGACCGGTTATCTTGTAGATGGGCAACTAGAAGCTGCGAGTACAAATAACTGTTGTAGCGTAATATGGGCGCAGAGGAGGGACGGAAATCGAAAAGATCTGAAAAAAAGAGGTAACATTGAAAGTAATTATCATCGGGAATTTTCCCTCCCTCCTCGCAGCAAATAGCGATCATCAACGTTCAGTAAAGTCGAGTGGTGAAACATCTAACATCGAGAAGCTGCTACGGAAGGCGATGCTGCTTAAGTCTGCCAGGATTTGTGCATGAGTATTCCGGCATCGTAATTCATTGTAGAGGGATCGAGCTAGAAGGGCGAAAAAAATCGAGTACTCTTGTTTTGTTGTGTGGCGAAATATTATTAAGCCTCACTGTAACGGTGCTGGGTTCGGTTGTCAGGGTGTAAACCGTCGGTTTACTTTAGGCTGGGGGGGGGCTAGGGTTGGTCAGTCGATAGGGTGTCTGCCTCATAACCTTATAATCGAACACTATATTTCAACCCCTGTCAGGGTCAGATACCTTCTTTCTGAGGTTGTTGGTAAACCAGCACCACTCCGTAGGAAGAAAAGAGGCCATAACATGCTATGTTTGCCACATAGCTGCTGTTGATTCTGCCTTAAAGTAATAAAGGCACAAGTGACCGATGACAGAAATAGAGATCAGCAATGCACCATACGGTTCATGAAGAGAAGGACGCCACCAGAGGTGACACCATCAGGAAAATATAACGAAGACTGAATGACCTAGTCACAACAAACTTTTCGTTTTGCATGCTCAAGCTATCGATTGAGGAGCTTTGTTCTTCGAATGTTTAATGTTCTATGTTTTTACAGCGACGTCACGTTTATCGCCTACCGCTTTTTTGTGTTAGATGCTTGTTGGGATGTTCCTCGACAAATCACGCGACTACGGTGTTCGATTGGTGGACTTTTTTAAACTAGCCAGTAGCGATAATATTTCTAATCAGCCAGAGTTGTCTGCTCTAAGTGGTCAGAGATTTACGTATGAAACATTGTAAAGATAAACATGTAAAATCATCGAACGGAACTCGATAGTCGAAGAAAAATTGAGATTTTGTCCGGTAGGGGATGGGGAAAAGAAGTAATAGGCTGATGCTTTACATCAATGACTGAACAGTAAACTTGCAAATATATTTTTTGAGGGTTGTATTTTATTCTTATTTTTGTCGAATATTATGTTGTATTTATTGTTAGTCATTTATGCACTGTGACAGGAGTAAGCTGCATCAGACAGAAAAATTTTCTCTGAGGATACCACCGTTTCGTTTTTTCTTTTGTTTTTATTGCAAAGTATTTCCAGTTGCGCTGTTACGACTAACATCGCTCTTTTCAAGAAAACATTTATGGAAATAGAAGTTTGCTCACGAGTGAACAAAATTCACTCTACCTCCTCTGAAAAGACCTTGTTGAAAAAGCGATCGATCATAGATCATTTTTGAAGCGTGTAAACAGGTAATTCTACTCTGACTAGGAAAGTCAACCTAGACTCTCGATTTACGGGTTTACCATGAATATTAGTCGTTAAGATTTGAGCTTGTGATTTTCTAGCTGTAAGAGAATGGCAGTGTAACTTAATTAACACTTTTGTTTTTCTTCTGTAATTTGTTTTTTAGGTGAGCAGCATGGAGCTGGTTCAAGAGATTCACCAAATTTTGATGGACCACGAGGAAACGTGTCATCGCACGTGTTTTTCGCTGCAACTGGACGGCCAGATTTTGGATAGCTTCGCCGAGCTCAAAGCGATCCCCGGCCTGAAAGACGGTGCCACGCTCAAAGTTGTCGAAGGTCAGTGTTGTTTGTATTGAGTAGCCTGCTGGCTTGGTTGTGCACGAAAATGATGTTGACCGCTCTGTTGATCATGTCGCTCCCATTTTTCGATTTTCCACCCGAATGTAGTGTTTATCGTAACGATTGATTGCCGTCGTCCGTTTAGAACCGTACACTGTCAGAGAAGCACGCATTCATCTACGGCACGTTCGAGACCTGTTAAAGTCGCTCGATCCTTCGGACGCGTACAACAGTTCTGAATGCGCATCTCTCAGCTACGTAAATACGATAACAAACGGTAGCATCTCAGGTATTCTGCACGTTTTAGTCGTTCGCTTTATTATTTCTGTGACCGTTTGGTTCACCAACACCTGTGCATGTGTGTTGTAGAGCGCACCGGTTCCAATCTGGAGTCATCGGTGGACTGCACTCCGCCAGACTACATAATGCCCGGTTGCAAGGAGCGTCTGATTTCTCCACTGATGCCCGTATCCAGAGATAG